CAGAGTTTCACTCTTGTTGCCCAGGCTGGAGTGCAATGGCATGATCTCAGCTCACCTCAACCTCTGCCTCCTGGGTTCAAGTGATTTTCCTGCCTCAGCCTCCCATGTAGCTGGGATTACAGGCATGTGCCACTATGCCCGGCTAATTTTATATTTTTAGTAAAGACAGGGTTTCTCTATGTTGGTCAGGCTGGCCTCAAACTCCTGACCTCAGGTGATCCACCTGCCTCTGCCTCCCAAAGTGCTGGGATTACAGGAGTGAGCCACCTGCCTGTAATCCCAGCACTTTCAGAGGCTGTGGCAAGCAGATCATGAGGTCAGGAGTTTGTGACCAGCCTGGCCAATATAGTGAAACCCCATCTCTACTAAAGATACAAAAATTAGCCAGGCGTGGTGGCGCATGCCTGTAGTGCCAGCTACTCGGGAGGCTGAGGCAGAAGAATTACTTGAACCCGGGAGATGGAGGTTGCAGTAAGCTGAAATCACGCCACTGTATTCCAGCCTGGCAACAGAGCGAGACTCCGTCTAAATAATAATTTAAAAAAGAACAATCCTTTGCTTTGCTTTCCTTTGCTTTGATGATCTAACTTCCAGGCTCACTGGAGTAGCAGAGTCACCCTACTGCTCTGTGGGGTGGCCCTGCCCCTTCATCTCTCTGCAGGGGCCCCAACCCTCTGAAACCAAGGAAGGCATAATAGCATTGCCCCTGGGCTTATGGTAAGAGTGGCATCTCTGAGGATCTGTGATCCCCTTTGGCATCATTTTTTGCTTTTCTTGAGGAATAGGGCACATTCACAGTCAAGTTAATTCATGGTTTTGTTTTGTGGAATCAAGGAAGTCCAATACCTTCCTTCATTCTTTCCTACTTTCTCTGTCCTTTTTAGTTCAAACTAGCGGTTTCTGCTGTTACAACACCTTATCTGTTACTGGCTTCTGAGGTGGCTGATTAACATCAAGCATAAGCTATTTATAGAGTGAGTGTCCAACCATACTTTTGGTCTTCTCTCTAGAGCAAGCTTTCTTATTTTTAGCAATATGGATAGGCTAAGAATTTTTCAGATCTCTAAGTTCTAGTTCCATCTTGCTGAACAGTTCCTTCTTCAATTTATCTCTCTCCTCTTGCATTTTTACTATAAGTGCTCTAGGAGGAACCAAGCCACTTTTCCCACACTTTGCTTAGAAATATCCTGAGATAAATAGCCAATTTCATTTCTCACAAGTTTTACCTTCCATAAAATACAAGAGCACAGTCAGCCAAGTTCTTTGCCACTTTATACTGAGGACCAGCTTTCCTTCAGTTTCCAATAACGTGTTCCTCATTTCTGTATAAAGCCTCACTAGAACTGCCCTTACTGTTCATATTTTCAGTATGTGCCTCAAAACTTTTCCAGCCTTTGCTTATTAGCCAATTTCAAAATCAATTCCACATTGTAGGTATTTGTTATAGTAGCATGTCTCTTCTCTTACCGCCCAAATGTACCATACCTCATTTCTTGATACTAAAATCTGTTTTGGTCACCTCAGACTGCTATAACAAAAATGCTATAGTCTGAATGGCTTGAACAACAGAAATTTTATTTTCTTACGGTTCTGGAAACTAGAAGTTCAAGATCAAGCTTCTGGCTGATTGATTCCCAGTGAGAGCTCTCTTCCTGGCCTGTAGATGGCCACCTTCTTGCTGTGCCCTCATGTGGAGAAAGGAGGAAGAGTGAGCTCTTAGGTTGGTCTTTTCTTCAAGGACACTAATCCTCTCAAGTCAGGATGTCATTCTCATGACCTCATTTTATATTAATCACTACCTTAGAGGCCCTCTCTCCAAATACAATCACATTGGGAAATAGGGTTTCAACTTATGATTACTGGGGAGACACAGAGCAGTGGTCATGTGTAGAGTCATGAAAAATTGAATAACCCTGTACACACATTCCGAGCTGAGGTTGAACAAGGTCATGGTCTGCCTTCTCGTTTGAGCTCTCATACTGTAAACAAGTGTCCTTTTCATAGTCTTTATAATGCCACTTTTTTTTTCATTTTTGTGGTTTTTTATTAGTGTTTCACTGTTCTTCACTTCATCCAGTTTTATTTTCTTCATAACTCCTATAATTATCAGAAATTATCTTATTTGTTTGTTTACATATTAATGGTCCCTTACTCCACTAGAACATAAGTTCCAAGAGAGCAGGGACCTTCTCTCTCATTCACTATATTCTTTTCTCTTACTATATCATCCCCAATGCCTGGAACAGTAACTAGCATGTAGGAAAGGAGATGTCAATGGATACTTGCTAATGAAGAAATGAATATTCTAAATGAAATGTTAAAAAACAACTTACTTAGAGGCTTCATAAAAGCCTCTTCTTTAATCCAACCCTTACTAGTTAGAAAAAAACATAGCATTGTAGTTTTTTGTGTTTGTTTACATTTGGATTAATTTCCAGATTCTTTTTGATTTTGGGATCTTAAGTTTGTATATTGATTTATTCTTCTAACCTCACTGTTTATGTTTTGTTTTGGAGGGCTTTCTTTTGAAAAAGTTTTGTTCTGTCCCCCAGGCTGGCGTGCATGGCATTGTTCATTGCAGCCTCGAATTTCTGGGCTCAAGCAATCCTCCTGCCTTAGCCTCCCAAGTAGCTGGGATAATACGTATGTGCCACTGTGCCCAACTAATTTTTTGAACGTTTCAGACATGATCTCACTATGTTGCCCAGGCTGGTCCTGAACTCCTGAGCTCAAGTGATCCTCCTTCCTCTCCTCCCAAAGTGCTGGAATTATAGGTGTGAGCCACTATGCCCAGCTTCTGTTCATGTATTGATGTGTTACTCTAATTTCACTGAGTTATTATAATTCAAATAATTATAGGTGAAATGTCTTTTAGTTTTAAATTTATTTATTATACTTTAAGTCCTGGGATACATGTGCAGAGCATGCAGATTTGTTACTTTGAAATGTTTTTATGATAGTTTCACTTATAATTACTTAGATCATATGATGAGTGCAACAGCCATAAAAATGTTTATCATCTATAGGTAAACCTTGGTTGGAATTCAAGATAAACCTCCCTCATGGTGAATTCTGTATTATAACAGATTCTGTAATGGCTACTTGTCCTATAGTGTATTAAGGAGGGAAAGTGTACCAAGAGTTAAGTGTTTGAAGAAGATATTATAATTGAATATTTGAAGGGTTTTTTTTTT